GTGGCGTTTTGGCTTGCGTTGGCCTTGTTGTTGTGATTCTTGCTCTCATTGGCAGCATTATGGGTGGCGCTGCCCTTGTTGTTTCCGTTTGTGGCATTTTGGCTTGAGTTGGCCTTGTTGTTGTTGTGATTCTTGCTCTCATTGGCAGTGTTATCGGTGGTGGTGCCCTTGTTGTTTCCGCTTGCGTTGGCCTTGTTGTTATGATTCTTGCTCTCATTGGCAGCATTATGGGTGGCGCTGCCCTTGTTGTTTCCATTTGTGGCGTTTTGGCTTGCGTTGGCCTTGGCGTTGTTTTGATTCTTGCTCTCATTGGCAGCGTTATGGGTGGTGCTGCCCTTGTGGTTATCGGACTCTTTCTCGTCGATGGCGACAGAACCACCGTCCACCACGGCCTCACCATCCGCGGGAACGGTATCCTTGGCATCACCAACGGTGGAGTTCGCTCCAGCGGGTTCGGGTCCAGAGACCAGCAGGGCTGCTATAATCAACAGAAGACGTACCAGTAGTGCTCGCTTCCCCATAGTTTTTGTGTTTAGTATTCTATGTTTTGTGTAGGTTTGAAGAATTTGTTTTGCTGCGTTGTGGTCGTTTGTGACGGATCTATTCGGTTTGCCTCGTTCGTACGATGTAACACTTTGCTGTCGCTGGTAGCGTCAAGTGTTCTCATCGCAATATTCTCCTTGCTCAGTTCGCAGATGTTGAACGGCATCATCGAATCATACCGCAGACAAAGAGAGAATCGTCTATCGTCTCGTGCTATGCTTCACCAAAGAACAAAAATGGTAAAGAATGGTAAAGAATTGTGACAAGTAAAAACTCAATCGTTCTGATTTCTTCTTATCGAAATCCATGGAGAGCATATGTGATAGTTTGCGGTTCGGAACTAAAATTCTTTAAGAAATTTAAGAAACATTCCTGAACAGGCGGCAAAGATCCATGTTTTTTCGGCGGGATACAAGGAAGGAAAATACACCTGAACACCTTCGTTCAGGATCCAAACATGAATGAAATGCGAACCCGAGATCAAAAAGCGTAGATAGCACGTGTTGCGAATAGCATTACAGTATTAATAGTACAACATTTTGAGTACGTATTGAATACTCTATGAACTATGAAGGGTATTATGTACTGTACCGTACGAAGTACTGTACGTCCTTACAATCACCTACAATCTTCAGTACAAAAAAATACGGTACAATAATAAACTTCTCTACTGTATGATATCTTTGCAAAATATCCTGCAAAATGTACGTGTGCTCTTTATTGGGTGATTCCCGATATTATAGATGTGCTAAACTCGTAAATCTGGCATTTTTATTACTTCTGTAATAACGGGAATCAAATATTCAACGGACAGACCAAGAGCAAGCCGGACTTTATTGCAGTCTTTTTTGGAATCTGGAATCTTAACTATGCTCCAACGTAAAG